GTGGTGGATAGAAGTAGAAGTGTCTGTGCCCACGAGAGAACACCCCCTTGCAGAACCTGGGAGGGAACCCATTATCCCTCTGGCTCACCATTCCACCTCTGTCTGGCAAGTATCTTTAAACCCCCCTGGCATAATGTGTCTTATCCCCCTTCCATGCCAGGCCAACAGAGAAGATAAGAGCCGCCTTCTACTATCTATTTCTCTGCTGGCTCCTATGGTAGAGACTGTGCCATGAGACTAAAGAGCCCAGCCGTACTGAGGTCTCATGTGAGGGGCCAGCATGGTTCCCCATGATGGCATTTTTGTCTCTAATTCTTTTTTTCTCCTATGTTTAACCTTTGGCAAGCTTAGGAGATCATATTTTTTTAAAAGTTAAAAGCATTCAGGCACTCACCAGTTAGCAAACACCACTGTTAAGTTGCCAGGGCAACCTTAACCCAGTTCCTTTGTGTGTTTGCATTATGACAGGCTTTCCTTACAGGATCACATACTATTTTGGTCCACAAGACGCCTGCCTCATTAAGGGCACGTGACAGCCCTGTTCTAGGAATGCGTCAGGGTTGTGTAGTGAACCATGCTGCCATCTGTACGACCTTTGCATCACTGGTAGCAGAAATTTGTTGTGTACTATTGGCAGGAGTGGGACAGGCAAGCCCAGGCCTGCCCGAGACTAAAAATGTATCCCCTCAGCTAAGGGGAGGAACCACTAAGCCTAGGTCACAACTGAGTACTAGGGACAGCGAAAGAGAAAACCGGCACAGGAATGAGGTCAGAGTTGTTAGTTATTTAGTGAATGAAGCAGGGAGTTGTAGGAAAAGAGAGGATGGTCTTTTGTGACTCAGGTATCTGAAGCTTGCCTTGGAGAACTGGATTGTGCCTCTGCCAGAAAGATCCTTAAATCAAACTTGATAGGTTTAAGTGACTTCACAGCTGTGTGCTCATTTTCTGGTGCCCACCAGCAAACCTGTGAGGTCAGATTTGTGGACTTGCTGATTCTTTTCAGACTGGAGATTTAAATGTCCTGATCTCAGCAAGATAAAGAATGTCCTGTGCAGTATTCTCACTGCAGAAACCAGTGGGATGTGTTAAACCCACAAAATAAACCCCACAGACTTGGAATGAAACCCCCCAATAGCATGTGTATGTAGGTGGGGTTTGCATAGACTAGCGACCATCCTGCCAGCATCTTTGCAATTTGCCCATTGACAATTTTAATCTGATTTCTCAGTTTTTATATGTGTTGAGTCAAGGAGATTTTTCTTTCTCAAAATAAGCAGAGGTTCTAGGTCCTATCCAGCAGGGTTTAGGTGCCTTTTGTATGGTAAAGTATATAGCAAAAACCTGCAGAGCTCCTGAATCCTTGCCAGCCCGCTGAGGTCAGGCAGACATTTCTTATTGAAGCAGTTGGCCTTGAGGGAGGGGTCACAAACTAAATAGTTCAAGGCAGAGCCCTAAATACTAACTGGGAAGGTTCTGCATCCGTCTTCCCTTTTCAACTCTAGACTTCGTCACTCTGTTTTGTAGAAGATGCTGAGAGCTGCAGTAGTTTGTGAGCAATGGATTGGGTAGCAGGTCTGTGTGCATAGGTGTATACACAGAAATGTTTCCATTGTCCTTGGGGGATGTGTATCTTGCTATGTGATTGGGGAGCTAGCAAAGGGACAAAGGTGTTTGATACAACAGGATGCATCTCTATAAACCGGAACTCTCTGTTCTGGCCACAACTGTGGTCTGGAAGGACCAAGAATGTTCCAGGATCAGAGAATCCTGGTGCGCTGCAGGGGGCTGGCAGCCTGGCGTGATGCCATGGGTAGGGGAGGAGCAACACATAGCCCAGATGGGCTGCGTGGTGGGACGAGAGCCAGGAAGGAGCCTGAGGGGGTGGAGAGCCAGTGCACGGCTTATCTGGGCTGCAGGAAGGCTTGGAGCTGGCATGCAACTCTGCTGGGGTGAGGGGGGCGGGGGGGGGGAGGGTCTGGCAGCAGGG